GATCCAGGTCCCCCCCAGAGGTGACCCGGGACCACCAGATTTGGGGGCCTGGCACTTACCGTCTAGGGATGAGACTCAGCAGCTCATGTTGTTACCCAGCCCCTGCTCCCTGAGGCCCACAGGGTCCCTGTGACCTGGAGGCCTCGGGAGACCCAGGAGACTGCCCACCAGGTCCCTGGACACAATCTCCTTCCTGTATTCCTTCTGGGGTGTTCTTCCGTAGCTTCTGCAGACTTCGTCTGCCTTCCCTGTGAAGTACTTTTCTTGCAAGGCCCATCTATGACAATGTATTCCTTCTACTCTTGTTCGTCTGACAAAGTCTCCTTCGGCACATTGAAGGATAGTCTCACTGTAGCAGAATTCCACACTGGTAGTAGTTTCTCTCAATGCTTTAAATATTTGACTCCACTCTTCGTGCTTGCATGGTTTCTGAGAAGAAGTCTGCCATCCTTCTTATCCTGGCTCCTCTCCAGGCAAGGCCTCTGGCCTTCTTCATCAAACCCGGCATAAAAGCCCTCGGCTGTAGCCCTGTCTCCGAGTCTTCCTTCCTTAGGGAGCCCCCCGCCCTGTAAAACTCACATAAATGTGTGTGCATTCCTCCTGTGCGTCAGTCTCTGTCAGTCTAATTTCCAGACCCAGCCAGGGACCCTCAGAGGGGAAAGAAAAACGTTCTCTCCCCTGAAAGCCCTTGGTACCTTAATCATAGTTGTTTCAAATTCCTGGTCTGATGACTCCAAAAATTTCTGCTAAGAATCTAATTCTCAGGCTTTCTCTGTCTCTAAAAATTGTGTTTTTGCCTTTCAGCATGACTTGTCATTTTTTTGAAAGCCAAACACGAGTGCTGGTGAAAGTAACTGAGGTCAACAGGCCTGCAGTGTGGGGTTTTACGTTTACCTGGCTAGGAGTGATGCTGTGTTCACGGCTTGCTGAGGTCCCTCTACTGCCCTTATCGTTTCCTCCCCTGTTGGATCTGGCTTTCCCTAGAGACTTCTTAAATAAGGTCTGTGATGCGCAGTTCTTTCTGGAGTCATTCAAGGTGTGAGGGGACAGACCGGAAGCGCTGTGTGCTGTGGGCTCAGTCTGTCAGTGAGAGAAAATGAAATAATATAAAATGTTCAGCTAAAACCACAAAAGACAGAAAAAGAGTAGAAGACAAATATAGGAATGAAAAACGAAGGCATCAAATAGAAAATTTGGGAAATATTATGGGAAATATTAATCCAACTCTATCAGGAATCAGTTTAAATGTCAATGGTCTAAATGCACCAATTAAAAGACGGAGATTGTCAGAGTAGACCAAGAAACAAGACTAAAGTATATTTTGTCTACAAGAAACCCACTTTAAATATAAGGACATTTATAGACTAAAGGTCAATGAATGGAGAAAGGTATACCATGCTAACATTAGTAAAGAGAAAGAAGGAGTAATGATATTAATTTCAGACAGAGCCAACTTCAGACCAAGGAAAATTATCAGGGATAGAAAGGAGCATTATCGAATGATAAGGGGTTCGATTCTCCCTTGACGAAATCAGCATCTCCAGACAGCTTATCCAACAACAGCAGAACACACATTCTTAAACTCAAATGGAACATTCACCAAGATAGACCACATTCTGGGCCATAAGACACACCTTAACACATTTAAAAGAATTGAGATCATACATATCTGCTCTCAGACCACAATGAAATCAAAGTAGCAATCAATAACAGAGAGCAGGAAAATCCCCAAATACCTGGAGACTAAACTGCACACTTCTAAATAACACATGAGTCAAAGAAAAATTCTCAGGAGAAATTTAAAAATATTTTTAATTAAATGATAATGGAAATACAACTTATCAAAATTTCTTTGATACAGTGAAAGAAATGCTTATAGGGAAATGTATAGCATTAAATGCATATATTTGAAATGAAGAAAGATCTGAAATGAATCATCTAAGCTTCCATTCTAGGAAAGGAGAAAAAGAAGTCCTAATTATCCAAAGTAAGCAGAAAAAAAAAGAAAGAAAGAAAAATTAGAGCAGAAATTAGAAACGGGAAATCATTGAAACCAAAGCTGGTTCTTTGAAAAGATCAATAAAATCAATCAGCCTCTCACCAAGCTAACTAAGAAAGAGAGAGGACACAAATTAATGATATCAGAATTGAAAGAGGGGACATCACTACAGATCCCATGCATACTAAAGGATAAGAAAGGACTATTATGAACAACCTTTATGCCCACAGTGTGGATAACCTAGGTGAAACGGACCAATTGAAATTGTGAAGACAAAATTTGCCAAAACTCACACAAGAAGAAAGAAATAATCTGAACAAGCCTACACGTATTTAAAAAATTGAATCAATAATTAATAACATTCTAAAACAGAAATTTCAGGCCCAGATAAGTTCATGGTGAATTTTGCCAAACATTTAAGGAAGAAATTATACCAATTCTCTATGATCTCTTTCAAAATACAGAAGCAGAGGGAATACTTCAAAGCGTGCTCTATGAGGCCAGGTTACCCTAATACCACTATCAAACAAAGACATTACAGGAACAGACGCCTCCAGACCAGTATCTCTTATGAACACAGATACTAAAATCCACAGCAAAATAGTAGCAAATTTAATCCAATGACGTAGAAAAAGAATATCCCACGACCAAGTGGGATTTATTCCAGGTGTGCAAGGCTGGTTCAACATTCAAAATCACTTAATGGAATCCATCACACCAACAGGCTAAGAGAGAAAAGTACATGATCAGATCAAAAGATGTAGAAAAAGCATTCAACAAAATCCAACTTCCTTTCATGGTAAGAACTCAGCAAATGTCTGTGCCTTCTACTCTGTGAACCTGAAACAGCTCTTTAAAAAAAAAAAAAACTCTATTAAAAAATAATAAGTACCTATATTAGGATAGAAAATGGTTTCTGTTTACGGAATTTAATGAAAGGAAGTGAAGTTTCGAATTTCAAGGTAGGCAGGGAATAGACTGAGAGCCATGCCTGGGGGCTGTGCGGAGAAGGGGAAGAACAGCTATCAAGGGCCTGAACTAGGGACCCATAAAGAATGGGGTGGGGGGGCATTTCACAGAGTCTGAAGGTAAACCCAGCAGAGTTTGGCAATCATTTCCACGCTGGGTGAGCCGGTGGGAAGGAATTCCGAGGGATGCAGGAGGAAGATGCAAGCTTGGTCAGCGCCAGGATGTTTGAGATTATTCTGGGGCTGGTCATGGTTTTAGCAGAAGGCTCCCAGAACTTGAATACTTAAGAATATCTGGGAGTCGGATAGCTCCTGGCCTCGGCGTGGTGCTGGTTTGGATCGGCTTGAAAATGCGGCTGCAGACAATGACTCCGAAACAGACCCGAGGGGGGAGAAGACCCCAGGGTTTTAGGAACCAGCGCGGGCGCATGCAGGAAGCCGAGGAGAGCGCTACGAGAGCGCTCAGGCGCGCGCAGGGGTTTCCGTGGTGTAGCGGTTATCACGTTCGCCTCACACGCGAAAGGTCCCCGGTTCGAGACCGGGCGGAAACACGCGTGCCCCGCGGCGGGTGAGCTTTTCTCTCTCACAGTCCTATCGCGCGTTCCGTGGACACCTCTCACCCCTTCTGACCCAGCCTCGCATTCAAACCTACCAAGGGCATCCAGCGCGCAGCCTTGCTGCGTGGAACACAGCCCAAGTTACAGAGTCAGGGGGACGCGCCGGGACAAGGTGTCTGTGCGCCCTGTCGCCAAGGCCAGGTGACATTTACCGGGACCTGGAAGGAGGAGTCGCCTGAGAAAAGAACAGGAGCCAGAAAAACTTTCAGCTGGAGAGAAGATTCTTCCAGCACGTTTGTTTTCACAGGTTTTGTTTGTATGGTGTAACATTCCCGCGTCAGTACCTTCGAGCTCTCTCCTAAAACTACCTGATGTCATGGACCATCACTTGGGATTCCATTCCACTTTTAGGTGTCCTTTAAAATCCAGTCTTTGCGGGGAAAAAAAAAATGCGCTCCCAGAGAGGGCTGGCTTCGCCCTCGCAGCCTCTGCATGCGCACTAGGCCAGACCCTTGATGTAAATGTTCTGCGATGGCCGGTTGGAAAATCTCAGTAACTTTTAAACAAAAGGCCCTGCGTTCTCATTTTGCACTGGGACCATAAGTGATAGACAAGTTCTCCCAGAAACTCACAAAAGGAGCAATCATCCGAGTTCAGCGTTCCTTACAGGGAGGAGCAAGAAGCTGAGAACGAGCCCACCCTGTGCTTGACAGGAATGCGCACATTACTGAGGGTGAGGGGATGCGTTTGTCGAATATAGTAATACTTTCCGGCCCGCCCTAGAATATCAAAAGAAAAAGATCCACTAGCGCATTAAAACTTTATTGCAGTGTTTGACGCATTTTTTCCAGCCTTTTATTTTCATCTGAGTCCTTCAGGTCCCGTCCCTTGTTTAGCTTTCTTGTTTTCCCTTGTGTTTTGTTTCCATATGTTTCATCACTAATCATTCTTACTCTTTCAAGATTCCATCATTTTGCTCTACTTTTCAAAATATTCAGTGATGTCCTAGAATGCAGAATCATGGGAGAAGGAGGGATCATATTACAGCACTCAATTTATACAATATGCACATTTTATCTTTTTTCTTGTCTTTTTGAATTATATTCAAAGCAAAATGTGAAGGGAGACTGCACGTTTCTTAGGAAATGTGGAGAGTAGCTACAAAAGTTTAAAACTAGGAAACTATAGCTCAAGTCTAGTTCATAGCATCGACCTTGCTAATTCATGGTGAATAATTCTCTAGCTCTTCTACAAAGTGCCTCAGAGGGGTAAGACTGGTGTTGAGGTTTCAATCAGCTATGAACCCAAGTTTTCATAAAACCACAAAGGGAGAGGCCCCGCTGGGATTCGAACCCAGGATCTCCTGTTTACTAGACAGGCGCTTTAACCAACTAAGCCACGGAGCCCCATGGTCTATCTCCTCTTGTCACATATTGTTTTAAAAATTTCACACCTTAATCTGTGTTCTTATTTCAGCAATTTCTTTAGGATCTAGCAAGAAGGTGAACCTGGACCCCAGTCAGAACCAAAGAAGAATGCTCCCTCTGTGGAACGAGAACCGGGTTGAGAAGCCCATCTTGCTTGGTGCTGAGACCCATCACATCCCTTAGGACCAGCAGTGAGCCGGCCCTTCCAACTCTGTGGGTGAGTGATAGTAGAAACGAGGCCCTGATTTTATCCCTATGTCCCCCTAACTTTTGACCTCCAATGATGCTGTCTCTCCCACATGCCAAAATATACTCCCTCCCTCCCAGTCGGACTCCTTTGTAACATCAACGTGAAATCCAGGATGGCATCATCTAGATCGGGGGAAGGCTCAGACGAAATTCCTCGGTGCGAATGCTCAAGCAGGATTCTTCGTGACTGGAACAGCTACGGCCTGAAGGTACAAGCCGCGTGTCTTCCCACAGACAGGCATAGGAAGCAGCGGCTAAGCTCTGTACACCCTCCCAGGCAGAGAGAACACAGCCAGGGACACACTGATCCACAGCAATTCCAGAAGCCAGTGGGCACATGCTGCCACTTGATTGGGACTCAGTCGTACTGTCTGGGAACTGTCCTCCCGGGCTCTTGGCGTCACCCTCCCAATCATCCATCCTGTTCATGCGACATTTCTCTTACTAAGTCTCCCTCCCATCGCGGTCTGGGAGGCTCAGGGTCCTCTTTTCATTTCGTGCTGTCCCCCTTCCCTTTGCGTTCCAGTTGTCAGTGTCACCACTGTGCTCTTGACACCCCTGCGATGTCACGAATGCTGTTGGAACGTCTTCCCTTAGATCTGGAGCCCGCAAACTCTGACCCGCAGGCCATATCTGGCCAGCTCCCTGTTTTTATACAGTTTTATTGGAACATAGCCACACTTTTCTCCTATTATCTGTGGCCACTTCCCTGCTTCAACAGGAGATGTGAGTCGTTTCAACAGACCCTGTGTGGCCACAAAGCCTAAAATATTTCCTGTCTGGCCCGCTGAAGAAAAAGTTTTCCAACCTGTCTTAAATAAAAACTGCATTCGCAAACCTGATGAATATAAGCCCTTGTTTACCTTGGCTTCCTATAAAGGTGCTGGTGGGCCCACCCTTCCGATTTGTGGGTTCGCGGCTGGGATACGCAGGGCAGGCCTGGGTTTTCTGCGGAGAGATCACCTGGACTCACTTGGCACTGCCAACAGAAGATTTCACAATGTGTGCCTGAAGGGCATTTCTTGATCTTAGCATCGGCTTTCACCTGGAGCCGCTGGGAAAAAGAAACAGCTTCTTCTTTCGAACCCTGTAAGCTCTCGCTCATTTGTATTGAACAGTTCTTCCCTTAGCTTAAATCTCCCATCTCCCGTCTGACGGTGAACAGCAGGAAAGGCTGAGCAAGCCGGCGCCATTGACCAGAAGTCTCTGGCTACACTGGCCGCCGGGAGGTTTGCGGTCCGCATTCGCAAACGGTGCAGGAAGTGTGTCTCTTCAGGGCAGCTGCTGGGAGCTCTTTCCAGCACTTCGTAAGCAGCTTGCTTTTTCCCAGGGGCTCTTTCTGCAGTCCCTGGAGTTTTAACCCCACTTGATCATGAACCAGAACTCCACTGAGGGTGCAAGGAAGGCCTTCGGCCACCACTGGGCCTCCCTCTCTCCCTGTCTCTCTCTGCAGCTTTCCCCTCTCTGCTACTCTGCTCCAAATAAGCCAAGTGCACTGGCCTCCCCGAAATGCTATCTTTGCCCCCAGTTCAGCGACACTGCTTGGCTCAGATTCCCCGCCCCCCGATGGCCCCCGGGGGTGCGGAGGCCTAGAAACTGCCTCTAGGCAACAAGCTAAGACCTGTGTAAGGCTCATCGCTTCTGTTACGCTCCGGTCAGGGACCAAGGTCCTGCGCTGACAGCAAGGGTCAGAACATATCCCACTGGTCCCATATTTGTGTCTAGCATCCTCGTTGTGCACGGGGGAGGGCAATGCCTCCCCCCGCGAATGCTTCTCAGGTGGAAACAGAAGGCGCCATCTGTTGGCAGAGCTCCTTTGCCACAGTGTTAGAACTTGAAGTTCCATCCCTGTTGCTCCATGGTCACGTTCTCTGTCGCTACAGATGAACGTGCATGCTATTCTAAAGTATGCATTTACACTGCCTAATAATGAAAAGCAAAGTTTCTTCCAGTTTCACAAGACGCACCCATTGCTGACACTAACTTCCTTCCGTGTGTCCTGTGTCTCGGGTAGGATTTGAGGGGTGGGAAGAGTCGGGGAAGATTCAGAAGCAGGAGCAGAGTAGCTCCGAGCTAGAACGGGGACAGCCCCCCTCAGAGTCAGAAGTTCTCCAGGAGGACGTCCTCGATTTCAGATCCTACCAGCAGGATTCGAGGGTTCTTTAATTCCTAGTCCTACGATAATGGGTTTTACTCCGCTTTTTACTTTTGCCAATCGAATGGCGTTAGAGTTCTGTCTCTTTTTATTTTTTATTTCTGTGGTGATTAATGAATTGGGAAATTTTTGCATAATATTTGTTAGCTTTCATATATCTCTCTCCTAAATTGCTTGTCCTATCCTTTGTCCATTTCCTTTTGATCTTGCTGCTTTTCATGGCTTCTTGCTATTACATCATCTAATTATCCATCTCACCCCTGCTATCTGGGGACAATTTAAATACACTCTCCCATGATCACATTTATCTATTGATGTTTCTATTATGGCCTTTATTTTACATATTCTTCATTTTAATGGAAGCAAATACTAGACTTGTATTTCTTTGTTGTTTGTGCTTTTGAAGGTTTTAAAAGTTCTCTGCTCACTGGCACATGAGGATATTCTCCTTCATATACTTCTGGTAGCTTTATTCTTTACTGTCACACTTAAGAACTAAACTTAATAGCTGGTTCTACTGTGTAGCCCATGTGAAGAACAACAGTAATGGAATATTTTGGAAACCTTTGTATCTGTCTATACCTGATGGACTCTATCTCTGATTTGTTTCTTCTGGAACCCTGCAGTCATGCGCAACCCCATCCCCAGCCCAGTTCTCACCCCAGCGCTGAGAGATCTGGGTTTCCTTCAGGGCTTGGGCGGTGCAGGACTCTCTTAGGCAACGTCTCCTTTCTAGGAGTTGAACCTTGATCTGGCCAGAGACAGAACCCAGAGCGGGACAATCACCGCACCTATGGGGGCCATTCCTTGTACCTGAATTTATCAGGCAAAGAGAAAGATCTGGATGGGGACCCAGTCGGTCTGAACATTCAAAATGAGGGTTGGGCTTCTTCATCAACTGAGATTCTGGGAAGAGTCATCTTCGGACCCTCTGCTTGTCTTGTACCCCTGACATAACCCCCTCATCCTGCGGTGCCTTCCCTCGGCTGCCTGAGGCGCCCTGCGCCCCTGTCACACACGAGGCGCTCGGTATTGTTATGTAAATTAATTAATTATATTCCAGCCTGTGTACAGGATTTCATTTCAGCTCCGTGTCCTCCAGAGACCCCGGATGTCCCATCTGGCAGCTTCTTTCACGGATTCTTAAATTCCCCACGACCACTCTTAGCGCCCTTGACTGAGTGCAGTCACACGCGGTTGACGTGTTAGCGGAGTGTGCTGGCTGGATTCTTGCGGTCCACCCTATATCGGAGTTCGGGGGCGTCCTACCGTCTTTGCAGCCCACGCTGAGCTCGGTGCGCTCCTTTGTGGATACCGGGTGTCGGGGAAAGCGTCCTGTCATTAAAATCAAAGCCACGAATTCCAACTGTGTCCCCTAGGGATTTCCACCCCTCCCCCCCAGGGCTTGCTCGTTTTCACCCCCCGTCCCTGGGGCGCAGCCCTGCAGCCTCCGGCCCGGGGGCTCTGCAGGGGGGTGGACGAGAGCAGGAAAACCCTGCTGTCTTCCGGCAGAATCGGGGCGGCGTCGGCCGCGGGCAGAGGAAGCAGGTGCGCCCAGGCCCGCCTTTCTCTTACTCTCTGTCCCTGCGCACGCGTTTTCCTTTCGTATCAAAGAAAAAGAGCGATTTCTCTGAAACACAGGCGCTGATCTAGCGAGGGGAGCTCGGGGGAAAGTGGGCGCTTTCCGAGAGCACAAGAAGCGTGCTGTGTTTTCTCTATCACAGCCCTCCTCGTGCAGTTCCCCAGAAACAGAAATAATTCGGTATTTCCTTCACGCGCAGCGCCAATACATTGGATCGAATAAAAATCTAATTGCCGAGGACAAGAGCCCAGCCACCGGGATGGCCGAGTGGTTAAGGCGTTGGACTTAAGATCCAATGGGCGTGCGCCCGCGTGGGTTCGAACCCCACTCCCGGTAGAGCAGGTTTTCGTCTCTGCGGCCCTTCCCGGGAGCCCGCTGGCCCTTGGCAACGTGCGCAGGGGTCAGATCCCGGCTCTGCTTTTCCATCCCTCCGCGAAAACACTGGAAAGGATCGTGAGAAAATGTTTCCCTGCTCTGCCTTCGAGCAGTAGGAGGACTAGGCAGGAGTACCTGCGAGAGCTATTTTCTGCCCCGACCCCATCAAATTGCCAGCATAAGGAAAACTCACCACGTCCACAGTCTGCCTAATGAGACTTTAACTCCAGGCCCTTCAGTTGCAAGGGGGATGGAAACTTGGAGGCTTCGCCCTTGAAGCCACAGGAAGGAAGCCCTCGTTCTCTGTGGCCCCTGCGAAGCCAGAACCACCTGCCAGGGGATTCTTATTGTTTCTAAAGGTGGTTGTCAGAGCTCGGCTGGGGCTGCCCCTCCAGCTCGCCCGGAAAGCAGAAGTGAACCCTCACCAGCAGAACATGAGTGCTTTGAAATCTAAAAATGGCCCCTCAGTGGAGTTTGATTTTGCCTTTCTCGGGTTAGTGTTGTTGAGCATTTTTTAAATTGATGAGCCATCTGTACTTCCTTTCCTGTGTACTCGTTTTTCTATTGGTTGTTAGGTCTTTTCTTATGATTTATAGGCGCTCTTTAAATATGAATCAATTAAGCCCTATTCTGATATGTCACCGATAATCCAGTTTGTTATTTGCCTTAGAATTTTGCAGTGATTTGGGTCGGTGGCCAAAGTGATGAGTCTTCTGGTTCAACGTCTGACTTTTAGGTGTGCCTTTCCCCACTAGGAGATCAAGAAGAGTGACAGAGGACTGCCATGCTTTCTTCTAGAATGTTCATGATTTCTTTTTTGTATTTCGATCTTTGATTTATCCAATTTTTCCTGTTTTAATATGTGAAATATAGATCTAACTCTACCTTATTTCCAGAGAACTGCCAGTAATGCCAACACCATATTTTTTCATTTAAATTCAATTTAATTAACATACACAGTATTATTAGTTTCAGAGGTAGAGGTCAGTGACTCATCAGTTGCATAGAACACCCAGTCCTCGTTACATCACGTGTCCTTCTTAATGCCCATCACCCAGTTACCTCCAGCAACCCTCAGTTTGTTTCCTAGAGTTCAGTGTCTCTTATGGTTTGTCTCCCTCTCTGATTTTGTCTTATTTTATTTTCCCTCCCTTCCCTTATGTTCATCTACTTTGTTTCTTAAATTCCACATATGAGTGAAATCATATGGTATTTGCCTTTCTGACTGATTTTGCTTAGCATTATACCCTCTAGTTCCATCCATGTCATTGCAAATGGCAAGAGTTCATTCTTTTTGATGGCTGAGTAATATTCCATTGTATATATATACCACATCTTCTTTATCCATTCATCAGTCGATGGACATCTGGGCTCTTTCCATACTTTGGCTATTGTGCACATTGCTGCTATAAACACTGGGGTGCATGTGCCCCTTTGGATCACTACATTTGTCTCCTTTGGATAAATACCTAGTAGTGCAATTGATGGGTGGTAGGGTACTTCTATTTTTAACTTTTTGAGGAACCTCCATACTGTTTCCAGAGTGGCTGCACCAGCTTGCATTCCCACCAACAGTGTAAGAGGGTTCCCCTTTCTCCCAAATCCTCGCCAACATCTGTTTCCTGAGTTAATTTTAGCCATTCTGACTGGTGTGAG